ACAGGAATAAGCCCCTGGAATCCAACTTTGAAATATATGGTATGTGTGTATGTGTGTGTGTGTGTGTGTGTGTGTGTGTGTGTGTGTGTGTGTATGTCATGAATAATTCATGACATTAGTGTGCTCAATATATGCATACATATTTACATACACAAACTGAATAAAAACCTGAATATAAAAACTAAGCATGATAGGAATCATAACTATACAGACCAATTTTTGCAACTGTATATTTTATGAAGCTAAATATAAATTAAATATCTCCAAATACAATGTATCAGATGTGCTATTGAAGACAATACCAAAGAACATCAAAAACCTGTTTTTTGTGGTGATTATATGTTGATGTATCAATATTTTGGCTATATTGACTTAAATTGACCATATTATTTTTGTTTTAATTTTTGTCTGTGCCCTCCTCCCAGCTGCCCTCCTATGTGCACATGTATTACTACCATATTATTAAACTGATTTCATGCATTTCTCTTTAGTTTTTTAGTATAGTTATTTGGAATATCTGAGACTAAACACAAGCTCACATTACGTTTACATTGGACAGTTAAACACGGACATCCATGGATTTATTTCCATTTCTGTCCTCCCTAGCTGTGAAGTGGGCTCAAAATATTTCTAGGTCTTTCATGAAAAAAAGGTCTGATAGTGCCTACTATATAGATTTGATGAGAACTACAACTGAACTATATGTAATTCAAGTCGTGCATTCATAGTTCACGAACCCAGTATGCTCAATATGTGCTATGACTATACTCTTACGATTACAATTGTCACATATGAGGACAGCAAGAAACTGGGAAATATCATGCAATGCTGGAAGTAAAGAGTTTATTTCTTTTCCTTGTATCAAATGTCCATTTGGATGCGTGTGACGGACCTATGGCCTTATTCCCAAGATGTGCAGCTATGTATTAGAACCCCAGTAATATTCCCTCACACCTCATCAACCAGTGCTTGCTGTTGATTGAATAGTTCCCTATAGGTCTCCAAAAAGCACAACTAACGAAAAGGTGTCCTGAATTAATTCAGGAAGGAGCAGGACTAAAATCTGTGGCACTGAGCCAGGAATATAAAGGGGCTCTGATGCTGAACTAGCCTTTATACTTTTCAGGAAGTCATTAGCTTCTCTAGGATCTGTTTCTCAATCAATTAAGTAAGGATAATAGAAAATGCTATCATGAGGATTAAATAAGTGAAAGACAGAGAAGAGAAAGGGAAACCCTTTAGCTACCCAGCACTATGCCAGTGCCAGTATCAATGCTTTACTTTTACAACCATCACTGCAGGATTAGCTTTATTCACAGACAGAACATACCATTCCTTCTCCTTCTGTGGCATTATTTCTAAGGATCCCTATCCTGTTCTTCTAAATCTCCCTAAACTGTTATCTTAAACTGTCTGTGATAAGATTCAATTCCTATGCTGTAAAAAATTACAATTTTCCTTTAGAAAATATATAAACAGGCGCTGCTGCTCATGCCTGTAATCCTCAGTACTCAGGAGGCAGAGATCTGAGGATTGCAGTTCAAAGCCAGCCTAGGCAGGAAAGTCTGTGAGACTCTCATTTCCAATAAATTACTCTTGGAAGTAAAGCTGTGGCTCAAGTGGTAGAGTTCTAGCCTTGAGCAAAAGAAACTCAGGGCTAGCACCCAGGCCCTGAGTTCAAGCGCAAGGACCTACATCAAAAAGAAAAAAGAAAAGATATAAAAGATAACCACTTGTGAAATAAACTAGTAACATTACTTCAATTCATTATTCCTACAGAGCCAGTCACCTAGCAAGTCTGAAGAAATGGGCAAAGAACAGATTGAGTTTTCACTCATTTATTCTTATACTCAATCACTTTGACAAAATATGTTACTGAAACAAGAAAGATTAGCAGGTCAAGGCGGGTCAGGATGCAGGGGAAAGCTAGTCATGTGGTTTAGATTACATGATCACCTTGTTCATAACTTTGCTTAAAGGATACCTTCTGAATAAAGTCATGAGCAAGGTGATTATGCAGATATCCAGAAAGAACATTCTAGAAAAAGAAAATAATTCCTTTGAAATCTCTGGGCCAGGAGCACATGCATAATTCCAGGGGACCTTGAAGTTCCCCATGTGGTTACTATAGAACAAGAAATTATTGTAACAGAAGAGAAGGTCAGAGAAGGAACTGGAAGGAGACAGAATGGATCACTTGGGAGCTTAGGGATGGAAACCCACAAATTGTAGTGTCCAAACTGGAACAAATTTGAGAGTGAAAAAAGTGGTTACTAATCATTACACTACAGTAACGGTTATAAACCAGTTTCATGACCCTCTCTAAATAAATGGGGCCTGTGGTTTTTACTTTGAAGCAAACAGGAAATCACACCTAGAATGAGTTCAACTGGTATTCAGAAACTGTGCTAAGTAGTCAGACAGAAAAGTCCTCAAGAAAGAGATACTTGCAGAAGTAATATGTCCTAAGGTTGAAATTGTATATTTAGATTTTTTTAAATCATTAAATAATTGATCCGTTAGGCTATCTGTACTCTATGGTCTTTACTTTTCTTTCCTACAGATTATTTGCCAGGATCTATTGAGATATGGGTAGAGTAGACTGAGAGATGTAGGTAAAGTGACTGAGATGTTTGTTCAGTTTGCCAGTCATAAAAGCAGAAGTGAGTCTGCTGCCTACAGTCAACATCCAGAAAAATTGCTCCCCAGTCCTTCAAAAGATAAACAAGGAAGGTGACCAAGGAGGAACACAGAGAAAGAATGTTTTGTTTTCAATTGTGGTAATAAATATGTATGTATATGTATCATACATACATTTACATATGTAACATATTACTTTAGCCTTTGGCATGTGTATAATTTGGTAGCATTAATCATATTCACAGTGCTGTATGTGTACCATTATATTGCTTACTCTCCAAAGCTGTTATCAACTCTAATTCTCTTTGCATTTTAAAGTGTAGTCTAAGCTTTGACTTATGTTCCAACTTCCATGGTGATGAAATTCTGATGTAGCTATAAGCCCTCTGTACATCATCTTTATAATAACAAGTTAAAAAATAAAAGGAAATTCATGTGGCCAACTGACTTTTCTGATCTGAATTCTATGGTAACTCAAATGTCACCACATACAACTCAATATTTAAATTTTACTTTTTCTTTAACATCCTATGGGATATCCTAAATGGTCTTGAGATTTACTTAGTTTGCAAGCAAACAAAAAGAGGAGAAAAAGAAGCCGCTCCTGTATTCCCCAGCCTTCCTGGCAAGTAGAAAATCCATGTGACACAGTATTAAGCGAGGCCTTATGGGAAGACTTGTTAATGCAAAGAAAAACAATGACATGCTCCATAATACTCATGATATAGACTTTCTGAAACAAAAATCCAAAATACACACATACATACAAATGTTAATGCAAAAAATAGACCCGTTGTCTAAAGGAAGATAATGTGGGAAAAGAAATCTAAAAATAAGTAAGATGGTAACACAATATCCAAATTAGCCTGATTACTTAAATTAGATTCATGGATGTCAAATTGGATTAAAACAGTTTCTATGCCGTTCACAAAAGATGTATAAAGCATACAAATATTCAAGCATTGTGAAGGAAGGAAAGTGATGATTTATATCAGTCAGATGCTAACCAGAAAAGCAGCTAGTATAAGTACATTAATATTAGTCAAAGAAGACTGTGAGACAAATAGTGTCATTCAAGACTGAGTTTCTATACAATGATTAAACGTTAATGTCGTCAAAGCATTATAACAATTCTACATGTATGCACATCATAAAATAGACTCAACAGATATAAATAAAAACTGGTAGACATCCATGAATAAATTGACAATTCTAATCCAACAGTGGGAGATTAGAGTATACTTCCTTCAATAAATTGTAATTTTAGCAAAATACAGAAAAGCCGGGAGCTGGGAAGGTGGCTCAGTGGTAAAATGCTTGCCTTGCATGCATGAGGCCCTAGGTTCGATTCCTCAGCACCATATAAGCAAAAAGAAAAAAAAAGCCAGAAGTGGCACTGTGGCTCAAGTAGTAGAGTGCTAGCCTTGAGCTGAAGAGCTGAGGAACAGCGCCCAGGCCCAGAGTTCAGGTCCCATGACCGGACCCCCCCCAAAAAATACAGAAAAGCTGAACAACATAATTAACATTGATCTGATGAAATACTTAGAAATAAAGCTATTGTTTTATAAAAATGGGTGACCAAAGGTCCAAGAATAGTTATCAAAGGAATCTGATTTGTTCCTTAAGCCCTAAGGGTTTAGCCATATCCATGAGAAATTTAGGGTCTAATCTTGCAATGAACAGAAACAAAATTTTTTATAATCAACTAGAAAAAACAGAAATTAAAATGTATTAGAGGAGTTTTAGAAGCCATACTACTTAAGTACTTGAATCCATGGAATGAGCTCATCTGCTGGGCATTTTTTTTTAACTCAAGGACACGTTATTATAATAGAGTTTTATACTCTGATGCTTTCAAACTAATATATCATAGGCATTTTGTTCTGTAGTTGTTCTTGTCTTTTATCTAGAAACAGCTTCTCAGCCCCTGAGTTTCTCTCTCCTTTAGCCAGAAATCAAAACCCTCTTCTAAATATAAATTCCTTTCAATGGGACACCCGCAGACAAACACACCCAGAAAATCAGAATTCCTTTCAAACTCAGCCCGGGTCAACTCCCTCAACAATGTTTTTTAATTCCTGCTGAAGCCAAATGCATTTCCCTTTGTTACAGTCTCAGTTGTGGTGAAAATAAAAGATGACTTCAGTCAACGAAGGTTTAGAATCGTGACTGCCTACTGTTTTTCCCTTCTGGAAGGTGGTCAGTACTAATGCTTCTTTCACACACATCCATCAACCAGTATTTCCTACTACTTTTCTAATTCCATAAAATCATGAACCTATACCCAGTATTTCCTAGTAATTTTCGAATTAGCCACGAGATCCCATAGCTTTTGCCAGAGAAGTTCCCACAGGTCTTACCCTCACTCAGGTCTCTTTCCATGGAAGTTTAGTCTTAAAGTCAGAACTCAGGACTGAGCACTGGTCTGCTGACACAGAAACACTCATCAGATAGATGTCTTCATTGTCATTCCAGGTGGGACAAGGTGAGAAGAGGATTTGAAAACTAACATGGAGAAAGTACCAATGACTACTTTTTCTTGAAACAGCCCTTGAACAACCTTGCTGTTTATTTAGCTGGCTGCTAAGTCCTGGGGAAAGAACGCAATTATTACAGGATTTTTTTAAGGCTCCACCCTCTATATTTCTAAGCTTTCAGTTTCCTTCTTCAGACAAGCCTGAACAGTTTTTCTCCTATTAGCTTGAGATCTCAAAGATATTTTTAGTATAGGAAACTGAGAGCTAACATATCTCTTCCTTTAGTGTGTAGTCTCCTAATTTTCAGGAGCTACTCTGTAGTAGCCACTGTAGTCTAGGATAGTGGACAAAAGACAGTACAGTGGTCACCTCTTCCTTGTCACTTGCTTTCTGTGATCTCACATCCACACAACAAAAGTACAAATAGATTTGTTTTCCTTTTTCTTGTTTTTTCCTGGTACTGAAGATTGGCCCTGAAGCCTTGTGCATACTAGGCAAGCCACCTGTCACTTGGGCTAGGGTCAGTCATATCCCTTTTGTTTTTCTTTTTTGAGATAAGATCTTGATACTATCTTTGCCCAGACTGGCCTTAGTTTCGAAGTTCTTCTACCCCAACCTCCTTAGTAGCTCACACTAAAGACTGGGCCACCATGTCCAGATTTACATTTTAGGTATTTAGAGGCAGATCGATAGAGAAATATTTGTTAGAATCAGATTAAATTAAACAAATAGAATATTAATTAGACCAAGAAATTTGACTGGGACAAACAAGTCCCAGGTAACCTGAGAAACATAAGTACCCACCCTAGGGATGGGACAAACTGCGGCCTGGCATTTACTGAAATTTGCAAAGTGAGTAAGAATAAGGACAAACTTGAAAGGCGGAATCTCCTTATAGAAACTTCAGGTTAGACATCAAAGGGAAAATTCCAGAGATAAAGGTGTGATGTAAATTGTTATACCGGAATTCGGGGACCCCCAGAAGACCACCAGAGACCACGATCAATGTAAGCAACAAAGAGCCGGTTTATTACAAGCTCGAGCTTGGTCCTCCATGCACATGGTAACTGGTGGTGCTAAGAGGCCCTGAGCATAGAATCAGCACAGTTTTTATAGTATTGAACAACTTTAAGGAACTTTTACATAAGAAATTACCTGATTGCTTAACATTTAAAGCAAGCTAAGCTGGGCAAATATGATTGATTGACCTTTACAAAAAAATGTCCTTGGTCCATAGCTTGACCGAAAGTGGTTATGAGTCACACCTGGACCAACAGAATGCATGGCATGTCTTGCCCTGGGCTCTGAAGAACTGGTTGGTTAGAAACTCTTAGTCCTAGGTGGCTGGGGGGCATCACCATTTGGGGGCTAACACCTGCCTTAAGCAAACGCCATCTATGGCTCCAAGAATTGTGCATGGCTTTCTGTCATAAATTCCTAGCATTGGGGCTAAAGTGGATCACGACTCAAGTCGCAAAACTGAGATGGAGTGTTAAACAAAAATGGAGTTGCGTAGGTTTCTCAAAACATTATATTTCTTCCCCAGGGCCTTACTGCCCCGGCCTCCGGGAGGGGCGTTGCAGCTGTGGGGATAATTCTGAAGACTTTGTGCCCTTGGTCAGGGCTGTAAACCCTTTGAAGTCTTTTACTAAGCAACTCTAGGCTCCCAGGCTGACATTTCACTACTGAGTAACTAAAACCAGTCACAGTTAAAATCATACAAAAACCATAAAATCACCTAGCACAAAGCAATTCGTATAGAAGCAAAAATAAGTGGTTAGTAATCATAACTTCTAATTTCTATTACATTAAGCATTAATGTGACTCCATGACTTTTAATAAATTAATTCAGGGGGTGCTTGCCTACTTTGATGAGGGCAGTCCAGTTTTCTGCCTCTTTCACTGCACTCCTCAAGGTTTTAGCAGAGTTTTTAGCAAGCAAAGGAACAGAAGCGAAAATGGCTGTTAGGTGCTGTCTATATATTTTTACCTTCTTCATAAATTAGTGAGTTAAACACCCAGTTACTGGAATTTGGTAGATAACAGTGAAACTCAGAAAGAGCCAGAAAGCCTGGTTTGATTTGGGAGTGTGATAAGTGAGAAATTTGAAATGTGGTTTTTGCATTGAGGACTTATTACTTTGCTATAGAGACTGTAATTGCTATTTCACTAATTTGTTTCTTTGGTGGGAAGATTTGGGATATGGTCTTTGCCTTGTGACTTACGGCCTTGGCTATTGGAATGACGAACTGTAACTATAATCACCATTTTGTAATTACTAACCGCTAGCTCTGTTTCTGTTAACTTGCTTCTTTGCCGATTGTGAGCCACTGGCCATCTGAGAGTGGCACCCCTCTCCCCTATTGGATCTCGCCTTTAAATACCCTGAGCTATTTGACTTTATTGCTGGTTTTCACTGTCTTGGTATAGTGGATGTCAGACGTCATGGCCACTAAATGATTCCTAGCCCTATTGACTGAGTGTTGGTGACTCCTTTCGCAGATTGCGGGTTCAAGTCCCACCGGCCCCAGGAAGCTGGGATATTTCACATTCAGATAACTTTTATTATAGTGTACTGGTATAATTGTTCTATTTTATTAGTAGTTATGAATCTCTTACTTGACCAAATGTGTAAATTAAGCTTTATGAATACTGTAGCTATGGGTTAAAGCATAGCATAGTAACTATATCACCATTACAATAACAAAAAATAGTATATATAAGATTTGTTTGTATGTGTGATTTCAGGCATTTACTATAGTTTTAGAATATATCCCCCAGGAACAAATGGTATGAAAACTGTAGAACATGGATGAACCAAGTCAATTCTAAGAAAACATCCTGAATACAGGGCCTATATGAGTACTATACAAGGAGTACAGGTATTAAAGAACAGAGCAGAACAAGAGAAAACCATCCAGTATGAAGGGTTTAAAGTGGAGGAAGGAAACTGGGCCTGGAAGAAGGTAGCAACCTGAGCTAATGGAATCACTGCAACTTTGGAAAACAGCCAGTTGTGCTTTGAGAAGACCTATGGGTAACAGGTTGTCCACAGTGACAGGGGTTGGGTTTTCTTCTGAAATTGTAGTCAGGTCCTCTGAATGCATTGGGAAGAAACTTTAAAAAGGAAACAGTACTGAATCTATTACTTTTTAAAAGTGGTAGCAAGAGAGTGATGAATGAAGAAAATAGAAAATTATATTTACCTTTCAGTTGCTCTTTTTGTGATTTTAGTAAAAGTTGCTTCACAAATAAATGAGAATCATGAGTAAGTGGCCAGAAAATGGCAATCACTTACACTAATGGAAGTGAACAGAAATTTAGCTGTCAAGAGAAGAATGCAGGTAGGTCAGCACATCTTGGGAGAGTGCGTAGGTGACAGGAAATGAAGCTATTTATGTATGATAGGGGTGTGTGTGTGTGTGTGTGTGTGTGTGTGTGTGTGTGTACGTGCATGTGTGTGCATAAACATGAAAGGCAGAATATGTGTCCCTGCATCAGGTGGAAAGCCAATAATCAACAAAAGTGGCAGAAAGAGTGAGGCCAAGAGAAGATCACATCAAGATCCTGGGGGCATTAAGAATGGATGACATGCTCTAGAGCAAAGATAAAAATAACCACGGGAGAGAAGAGAAACATTTTTTTCTAAAGCAGAAGAGGTAGGGATTTAAGAAAACTGAAAACATACCCAAGTCCACACTAAGCACTGGTGGCTCATGCTTATAATCCTAATTACTCAGGAGGCTCAGATCTTAGTATGGTGGTTAAAAGACAGCCTGGAAAGACAAATTCAAGTCACTTCTATGTCCAATTAACCAACAAAAATCCAGAAATGGAGGTATAGCTCAAAGCAGAAAAGCTAAAGGAGAGCAAAAGTCCCTGAGTTCAAGCTCAAGTAATGGCACGCCTCCCCTGATTCAAGTTCAACAAACATGATTTTGTGTGAATAGTGATTCTTTTTCCTAAAACTGAGAAGTACCAAGTTATCCAGTAAGATATATTTTCTCCAGGTGTCCACTAAGTCAAGTAAAGTGTGATTATTGATCTCTTCCCCTAAATCAATGCACGGTTCTGTGTGTAAGGAAAATATATGAAGGGTATAGAAGGTCAAGAGCAGTCGTTCAAGCTCACATATCAGATATAAATAGTTCAGATGATGGAAAAGGAAATAAGTCAAGGCCATGTTCATCTTCCTAGACTTACAGCCCAGATGAACATTTTGATTACAGCCTTGATTTCATACCTACAACCTCCCTGACACTCCTACACAGTGCCTTGCTGCATTCTGTGGTCAATGTTTTATTATTAAAAACTCTCAAATTTAAATATGATGAGATAAAATAATGAACATTGATACAGATAACTGTTAGTGTCAAGAAATGCATACTGTTTTGCTTGGCTCACAAATATGTGTATTTATGTCTTTGTATAACTTTATTGCAGAACCATTTGAAACTGGGTTAGATATCACAATATTTTGCAAGAAATATGCCAGAGTACATTTCCTAAACTAAGAATGATCTCCTGTACAGGTTTCTTCATCATACCCTGAAATAGAAAAATACCTCATCTGGAATCATCCAACATTCAGACCATACTTGTTGCTCAAACTGAGTAGCAAATGCCCCTGCTTCTAGTTAGTTTTTTCAGACTAGAAGCCAAATGAGATTGATATATTTCATTTCATCATTTGTATGTATTTTGTTAATTTTAAGCAACAACAGTATAGAGCTTTCTTACCCCAGGCCAAGAGCATTATAAGGAAGCTTGTAAAATTATTACATTTCCTGGCTCGCTTTTTTCTTATGGCATTTTTTTTAAACAAATACCTATGTTTAACACATATGTGTATGTGTGAGTACAAACATGCAAACACACATTTTATATGATTTAGCATGGATGCAACCCTTTAAGGTTCTGCTTCATCTCAGGTAAGTATTAAAGCGCTGCTATTACTTCTTGTTGTGTTGAATCAGCAGGATACAATGTCAGTATCCTCCATGAGGGAGAGACAGTTAGGGAGTAATGTGTGTCTCTTAGTTCAAAGAACACATCTCCCTTAGTAAAGCAGATTGCAAGGCATTACTTAGGTCTTCTGAAAAGATTCTATT